AGGAGAGAGAGAGAGAGAGAGAGAGAGAGAGAGAGAGGGACGGACAGACAGACAGACAGACAGAAACACACACACACAGAACCTATTTTTTTTAAAACTATTTTTATGTGTTTGCCAGGTAGACATGCACTACTGTTTTGCTCTTGTCTTGTTCCCCACCTTCCCTCCTCGCCATCCTTGTCTGAGGCCGGGTCTTACTGTATAACCCATGGCTGTCCTGGAACTCGCTCTGTAAACCTGGCTGGCCTCGAACTCACAGAGATCCACCTGCCTCTGCCTCCCGAGTGCTGGGATTAAAGGTGTGCGCCACCACGCTTTACGGTTAGACTGACGTCTTCTGAGAGGATGGTCTAATTCCATAATTCTTTCCACTTTTGTCTGCTGGGGTAAAGAAGTAAATTTTCCCCTGGAAAGACATGATCGGTGCTAGGTCTTCTATGCACCTCTGACAGAACGTTGAACTGGCTCTCATCCTCCACAGACGCCAGCGGCTTTTGCTGTCATGGTCATTATGAACTCCTGAATTTGAAGTTAATTGAGCTTGTGTTGGTTCTCTCTGACAGCTGAGACAAAATACCACAGATTTGGTGGATGTGGTGGTGCACACCTTTAATCCCAGCACTTAGGAGGCAGAAGCAGAGGCAGAGGCAGGTGGATCTCTGAGGGCAGCCTGGTCTACAGAGTGAGTTCCAGCACAGCCCGGGCTACACAGAGAAACCCTGTCTCAAAAACCAAAAATCAGTGAGATGGCTCCCCCGGTAGAGGAGCTTGCCGCCAAGCCTGCTGACCAGAGTTCAATCTCTGGGCCCCACATGGTGGAAGGGGAGAACCAGTTTTCACTAGTTGCCCTCTGCCCTCCACATGAATGCTATGGCACGAGTGTGTGTCTGTGTGCATATACAGAAATAAATGAATGCAATAAAAGTTAAAACAGAACCAAAAGGAAGACCACTGGAAGTGTATTCTGTCTCCCTCTGGAGGCCGGTGTCTGAGAGGATCCCTTTCTTGCCTCTCCAGTGGCAGCTAGTCTTTGGCTTGTGTGCTGGTTCTCTGGCCTGGGCTCTATGGACACACTTCCCTCCCCTCTTCCGCGTCTCTCATCTCAGGCTGTGAGTATGTTTAGGGCCTGCCCTGATGATTCAGGAGAATCATTTTATCTCACTACCCGTATCAGATCTGTGGAAGTCCTTTTTTGTGGAATAGTAGAGCATTCACAGGTGCCAGGAGAAGGCCTTGGATATCTTTGGGCATGTAGAGGCCAGTGTTCAGCTCACCACAGATGCGATCGGATCCATTCACTGCACCAGATTTTTGTTTGCATGTTAGTGTTGCCTTTGGCCATGTGGAATTGTTCATTTTGGGTTCAGTATCCGTTTGGAAGGGCCTCAGTAATCTTTTCTGTTTTGCCTTTTATGTGCAAACGTAGAACCCAGAGCTTGGGCATGCTAGGCAACTGTTCTACCACTGGGCCCCTCCTCACTGGGGGATTCTAGGCAGGGGCTCTACCACTGAGGTACACCCCCAGCCCCTCACTGGGGGATTCTAGGGAGGGGCTCTACCACTGAGCCACACCCCCAGCCCCTCACTGGGGGATTCTAGGCAGGGGCTCTACCACTGAGCCACACCCCCAGCCCCTCACTGGGGGATTCTAGGCAGGGGCTCTACCACTGAGCCACACCCCCAGCCCCTCACTGGGGGATTCTAGGCAGGGGCTCTACAACTATTTTCCCAAGGTGGTTTATTTCTTATTAGGAGCTAATATTAGCATGAGCTGCTCATTACAGGTGTTCACTGTCATTGGACTGATGTTGCACTTAGCATTTTTTTTTCCTTAGTGGAAAGAGCCAGAAGACAGGAACATTTTTAGAAAGAGAATATACTGTCTGTTCTTACTTTCTCCTTGATTTTAACCCTGTTTTCTTGTTGTTGAAAAATCGTAGTTTCCAAGGTTAGTAACAGTTATTATTTCTTTATCCCGGATAATACCAATTCAGTCACTAGTGAGACTTCTGAGTAAAGGTTAGATTTCTTTGCAGCCTCTTTTGGGATCCCACTTGCTAAACCTGTGTTTAGCAAATCCTGCAGTGTTATTCCATCTTTGATACACATTTATCTTTCTTGGAGCCTGCTGACCACACCCTTTCCCCCCGACTCTGGTGATGGTTCCTGAGGCAGGAGGATCACTTGAACTCAGAAATTCAAGCTCAGCCTGGGCAATATAGCCAGAGTCCGTCTCTACATAAAGTATTTTCATAGTTCCAGCGTCGAAGCTGAAAAGGGGAGCACCCAGAGAGGTCCAGTTTCTCCATCTCGTCCCTCTTCCCTGTTCTTCCAGTCCCCACAGGCAATCCCTCTGCCTTCTGAAAGTTTTTCATGTAGCCTATGTTTTTAAGAATATGAACGTAACGTAGATAATTCATAACTCCTCCCATTTCTTTTTTTTTTTAAAGGGACTTGGTAACTATATTCTGCACTGTTTAAATTAGTGAAAACCAACCCTCAATCAGTCCTTTTCATGACAGCACTGTACTGTGGATGAGCCACGGAAACTCAGTTCTGTCGGAGGACACTTGGTTACCGTCGCTTCTTGCTGTTTATAAACAGCGGTGTTTTCTTAAGGGTCCCTTAGCAGGGTAGCAACCTAGTCAGTTGTTAGCGCTGGCTGGGA